CAGTAGTAACTTCATAGAAGTATAATTCGCAAATCAAAAATGCTTAAAATGCAGTTACTATATTCATGGAGGTATGCAGCTATCACTCCCATTCTCTTCTTTCTCAGTTCTCCACAAGCACAAGTCTCCTTTATTCCTCTGTAGATTTGTCTGTTCTGGAAATCTCACATAAATGGAATCATACAACATGTGGCCTTTTGTGTCTGGCTTATTTCACTTCATAATAATGGTTTCAACATTTATCTAATTTTATGACCATATAATATTCCATTGTACAAATATACCACATTTTATTTGTTTGGAAATGTGGGTTATTTCTACATTTTTGCTATCATGAATAATGCTGGCCATGTGTTTTAATTTCTCTAGGAGTGGAATTGTTGGATCATATGATCATTTTATGTTTAACATTTTAAAAGATATCCAGAAATTACCAACAGTGACTGAGGATCCTAATTTTTTCCACACAATCCCCAACTTTTATTGTTTTCATTTTTATTATAGCCACCCCAATGAATATGAAGTGGTTTCTCAGTCACATTTTATATGAATTTCCCTAATGATGAGGATGCTTGAGATTAAAAGGTGTTTCATGTGTTTGTGGGCCAATTATGTGTTTCTCTTGGAGAAATATCTCCTTAAATCCTTTGTCTACCTTTGAGTGTTTTTTCCATGAGTTGTAATATTTCTTTATATAGTCTGGATACAAGTCCTTTATCTGGTGATTTTCAACAATTTTCTTTCTTTCTGTGAGTTGTCTTCACTTTGTTGATGACATCCTTTGATGTATAGATGTTTCTAATTTTCATGACATTCAATTTATCTGGGTTTTTTTTCTTTGATTGATTGTATCTCTGCTGTCCTAGCTAAAAAACCATTTCCTATTCTAAGGTCAAAAATTTTATTTCTGGGCTGGGAAGGTGGCTCAGTGGTAGAGCGCTTGCCTTGCATGCCTGAGGCCCTGGGTTCGATTCCTCAGCACCACATAAGCAAAAAGAAAAAAGCCAGAAGTGGCTCTGTGGCTCAAGTGGTAGAGCGCTAGCCTTGAGCTGAAGAGCTGAGGGACAGCGCCCAGCCTAGAGTTCAGGCTCCACGACCGGACCCAAAAAAAAAAAAAACTTATTTCTGTGTTTTCTCATACAAGTTGTTTTTTAATCACTCTATGCTTGCATTTAGATTTTTAGATCCAGTTTTAGATCCTTTTTTATATGATGTAATCCAACTTCATCCTTCTGCATCTAGCTGTCTCACTAGCACCCAGGAGTTATTGAGTTCATAAAGTTAAGAATTTTATATGTACATTGAATGAGTTGTACATTACGTGTGTTTGTGTGTGTGTGTGTGTGTGCGCGCGCACGCACACGCGCTAACACTGGGGATTAAATTCAAGGCCTAGGAGCTGTCCCTCAGATTTTTCACTAAAGATGTGTACTCTACCACTTGAGCTACAGCTCTCCTTTCAGATTTTTCCTGGTCAGAGATAAGAAGAGTCTCTTGAATTTGTCTGCCCAGACTGGCTTTGAACCACAATCCTCAGATTTCAGCCTCCTGAGTAGCTAGGGTATTATAGGTGTGAGACACCAGTGCCTCAATTTTACCATTCTGTGATTGAGATTGGAAGCTATCGCAGGCAGACAAATCTGAAAATTCTTGTCTCCAATTAACCAGCAAAAAGCCACAAGTGTAGGTGTGGGTCAAGTAGCCTGCTAACTTCAATTGTAAAAGTCAAGTAAGAGTGCAAAGCTCTGAGTTCAAGGCCTAGTACTGGCGCGCACGCACGCACACACACACACACACACACACACACACACAAAAGTGCACTGATTATGAAATATTTCTAGGTAAATTACATAGAACATTGTCTTATATTGAATATTATATAAAGACCTTAAAGCTGATGCTTCATATAGCCTCAGACTGACTATATAAAGTATTAAATAGTTGTGCTTTTTCATGTGGAAGTTACAGTACTCTGCATAACAGCAAAACCTGTTACTTTAGTCTTATCGTATGTACTAATCATTAATGGAGGGAGAATATGACTATGGTATGTGTTTTCTGGACTCCATATTACAAAAAGAAACATCTAACTATTGAATACAAAACATTGAAGAACTCCTTTTCCCAAGTTCCTATTGAAGAACTCCCTTTCCCAAGTTCTTCCGTTGTATTAGTCATTTGTTTTATCATCTGCTAGCACATGTTACCAGAAAACTGAGAACAGGTGGCATAAGCTTAAGAAAAATGTGTTGGAAATTTAAAACAAAACCAAAAAAACCCATTAAATTGTACACATTGTAACAATTAACATAATCTAATTTAAGCTAGGACTTCAGTCCAATTGGGGAGGATGTGATCATTTTTTTAAGGATAATTTTAGAACCACTGGTGCAGGGCTTAAATTTTAATTTAAAACAATAGTATTCAATCAAATTCAAGGTTTGAGGGAGGGAGGAGTTGAAGTCAGGACCTCATGCTTGCTATGATGTCATTTGAGTCGTGCCCCTAGTCCTTTTAGATTTTAATAAGGTTTTTTTTCAGATTTTTATGTTTTTGCCTGGGTGTGCCTCAGACCACAATCCTCCTACCTTTATCTTCTATGTAGCTGGACTTAGAGGTGTGTACCTCCACACACCTATAATTTTAAAAAAAACACTTCTAATACCCCTTTTAATATCATCAATCATACCAACTATGAGTTTTTTTCTGCTAAGTTTAGTTTATCAGGTCCTTATTAGCTGTCTGCTATATGAAGGAGCCCATTTTCGTATGTAATCCTTTGTCCTTGGATCTCATGATCTACGGAAGAAACCAACCTGTCCAGTATAGAGTACCTACAAGGAGTAGGTGGTAAATTGTGATAAATGCTCTTAGGGAGTTATCAAAGGCTTAGGACTACCAGGCAAAGGGGGTGGGAGTTGATTCCAGTTCTGAATGGGGCCAATCTAGGAGACCTGATACCTGAACTGAAACAGCAGAGATAAGATGAAGGTGGGCCACAGTGCAAGCTAAGACTCAGGATGGCATTTGGGGAAAACTGAGGCAGTGGCAGGAATGTAGAGTACAGACCTCTGAGGGGATGTAGCAGGGCATGCAGTTATACAGACAAGGAAGAGAGATGTTGTGCAACCTTGAGTCTAACAAATGATTGAGTTGGGACTCAGTTCTGCAGGCATTAGGGAGCTGGGGTAGAGGGTTTGGGGACAGGGCCATGACATGACCGGATGAGTATAGAAACAGGACAAAGACACAGCTGAAAGTGTGAAGAAATGCTACGTGATTTTTTTTAAGTCATCTTTCCAAGTTCAGTTCAAACTCCCAAAGGGTAGCTACGTGGTGAAATTTTAATAGTTAATTATGCATCTGGCAGATTGACTGTCCCTTGTGTGGGCTACTTTTAACAATGGCCAAGAAAAGCTGATGAAGCATGGACTTCCTTTGTTTTCTTCTTTTGGCAAGAAAAACATTTGAGTCAGTACTCCAGATTTCTCCTGAAATGTCTCATAACCAAGAAACAGATTTGCATTTCAGAGATAGGGCTGGGAAATTTATCTATACTGCAGAGAAAACACACTGACATGAAGCAAGGCCATTATATTAGACTTCAGGTCATAGGTTAGGACTAACAACAGTCACCAGGTTTCACCCACCATCCAGCTATGTCTGTTGTAGGCTGTGCAACTTTGGGTGTGTATCTTCACCAAGCCATGCCTCGGTTCTTTCATCTGTAAATAGAGGTAAAAATAGTACTTGCCTCTGGAGTTGCTGCATAAGAAGTAAATAAATCAACACATGTAAAGTGCTCCAGATAGTGCCTGGTACATAGAGCTCAGTCAATGTGAACTGTTATCATTAGGTTGTTAGGCAATACAATGTCCTCTCTTCCCAGTGCTGCAAGAAAGACCACTCAAGAAAAGTCTTCATTTGGACCTAGTGTTGGAACACTAGGAGGCAGGACAGGAAAGGGTCTTCTGGCTGCTCACAAAGTAAGCCACACAGTCCCCAGAAAGTAGGTGTCATAAGCTGTCTGCATCAAGCAAGTCCAGCCCCTCATGCAAATGAAGGATTGTGTTGGCACCAATCACAGCAGAGTCCTTAAAATCACTCATGGCAGTCCCTTATGCAAATGAAGGCTTGTGTTTGACCAGTTTCAGGCCTACTACTAGGCCACCAAGGGAAGGAAGTGCTCCCCTACTGGCTTGGGCAGAAGGGGCTGTGGTCCTTTAGAGTTCATCCAGGCTCATGGTGGCAAAAGCCCTGTGTTTGTCAGGGCAGTGCCTTCTGGAGCCAGAGTCATGCTTTGGGTTCAGAGTGTTTTTAGATGCTGGCAGTCCAGCTGAGGACTGTCCACCTGCCTCACTGGGACTGTCAGTCCTTCACTCAAAGTGGGCAGGGCCTAGGAAAGAGCCAAGCAGTTGGCATTTAGAGAATGAACTCTCCACAGCCCCCAACATGTCAGCATGAAGGAAAAATAAACTTCCAACAGGTGCTTCCAATAAAAGCTTATCATTAACCTGAGCAATGCCCCTGTGGCCCAGGTATAGGTAGATTTCCTGCCACCTGTTTCAAATGGACTGAAATCTCACACTGTACTCTGTAAATAGCACACTTCAGGTGTCCATTAATGTTATGAAATACAAGCATCACATCATGATGCTGCAGTCAACAATAGACTGCATATATCATGATTATACCATATGATTATTCTGCCTAGGGTTGTGGCAGCCATCTTAGTTTACATAGTTACAGTCTAGGGTGTTCAAATAGCCACGTGAACAACAATGTATCTGTGAACCTGCTGTATCATTAAGCAATACACAACCATATAAAGTGTAAGGTTTGCATTTATTCAGGCTTGCATGTGAATTTCAGAGTTTTAGGTGGTCCTAGAATGAGTTTAGTCCTTGTACCAGCCAAACAGAAGCTTTTATCATCTTGTCACAAGGGAAAACCTTTTAATGATCCCAGATGGATCACAATGGTTTCATTTGCTTTTCCAGGAAAATCTCACCTGGCCATTGTGCAGCGTGTGAATAATGAAGGAGAAGGAGACCCCTTCTATGAGGTGATGGGCATTGTCACACTGGAAGACATCATAGAGGAGATCATCAAGTCGGAGATCCTGGATGAAACTGACCTCTACAGTAAGTGCGAGGCCTTGGCTATTCCACAGTCATCTGACTTCCCCCTTAGAGTCTCAGCGTGACTTGGTTTGGTGCACAGTGTGAAAGGCTGCCAGAGAAAGCCTCACATGCTGATGTGTACCAGCCACTCTGCCCTGTGATGCCACAGCATGATGCCCTACATCAAATCACCCTGAGTCACGGGAACATACTAGCCAAGTGTTCTCAGAAGGAATCTTCCAGAAACAGAGCCAAGACCAGGAAAAGGAGATCTACTGGCTTTTGGATGGAAAGGGGACTAAATAAAACACTGGGTTCCCCAAGTGGGGGGGCGGGGCAGGGAGCAGAGGCTTTTCTACCCTTGTTTCTGCCCCATGTTTCTCCTGTGTCATCTCTGCTGGATACAGACTTCACCTCCCCTTAAAACGACTCACACTGAGGGGTCCTTGAACAAGGGAGATGGCCGTGACATTGCCCTCACCCCAAAACCATCAATGTGCCATCTTGCATATAGCTCTTTTCCCTCCCGCCTTTCAGCAAACCCCCCGAGTTTCTCAAATTTTCAAATTTCAACCCGAATCCCTGGGCCAAGGCCTTGCCTGGCTCCTATCACTGTTTCCTGCTCTTTACCCTCATCTCCATTGCCTCTCAGGAGCAGCCTGAACTTCTCTCTGCAGACAGTGGTGCTTGGGCTACTGAGCCTTTTCAAAGCATCGTTTTCCAAATTTACAAATGCATGTTCTCTGCCTGGAAGGAGATTCCACGAAGTATTTCATCTGAATTTCATCTTCTGGGATAGCCATTCCTTTCCGTTAAAGATCCTTAGTTTACTAGAAACAACCTTTCAGAAATTGGCTCCTGGTAGCCAAAAGCTTTGATACCCTAAGACAGAAAAAAACAAAAACAAACAGAAAAAAATCCACCTTCCCTTTGCACCAAGAAGGAACCAAACTTAAAGGTAGGCGAGGCCTTGACAAAAACTAGCAGGCATTTGAACAACCTTAACGTTCCAAACATCCACTGTTAAAATCAAAGGAATGCCAGGCAATGGTGGCTCATGCATGTAATCCTAGCTACTCAGAAGGCTGAAAAAAATCTCAGTTCACAGGAAAGGAAAGTCTGTGAGACTCTTATCTCCAATTAAGCACCATCAAGCCAGAAGTGGAGCTCTGGCTCAAGTGGTAGAGCACTAGCTTTGAGCAAAAATGCTCAGGGACAGCACTCATGCTTTGAGCTCCAGGACTGGCGCGCACGTGTGCACACATACACAGACACACACACACAGACACACACACACACACACACATCAGTGGAATGAAGGGAGGAAGTGGAAGGAATGCCTCTGGAATGATAAAGATGTTAAGTGACAGTCTTATGGGGGAAAGGAAGGGGACATGTAGGCAAACGTCATACAAGTCAAAAGATAAGTCACTGGTGAGAGTAGAAGACATGGTTCCTAGCCCTCTCTTTGTTACACATGTACTGAAGTGAGCCATTTTCCATGGGAAAACATCCAAGCCCAGCAAAAATGATTCTGAGATGGCTTTGCAATCTGTCTCCTGTGACACTGCAGCTGACAATCGGAAGAAGCAGAGGGTCCCACACCGGGAGAGGAAGCGGCATGACTTCTCCCTGTTCAAGCTTTCCGACTCGGAGATGAGAGTAAAGATCTCCCCGCAGCTTCTGTTGGCCACACACCGCTTCATGGCCACAGGTAAGGCCTCCCTCACCCCCCTCCAGTCTCCACCCTAGAGGGATTCTAGCAAGATCTAGGGTGGCACCAGGCCCCATACATATTATATCTTCCAACCCCACTCTAACATCTGGCTGGCACTGAGCATCACTGTTGCAAGCAGAACCTTCTCTTGGGTAACAGGATGACAGCACACCACCTACTACCATAATGAGCCTCAGGTTTATTGTCTTCACTAGAAGTGAGTACAACTCCACTCTTTCTACTGCTTGAGGAAAGAGCTAAAGAAACCACTGCTGTAATTTACCCCTACCTGCTCCAAGGTCATTCTCTCTCCTACAGTTCAAGTTCAGGTCCCAAACCATCGTCCTATGCACTGACAAGACCCTGAGGTAGAGGCCTATGAACCACATGTTCTTTAAATAAAAAAGAGGACTATGAAAGTGGGGCACCAGTGGCTCATGCCTATAATCATAGATACTCAAGAGGCTGAGATCTGAGGATCATGATTGAAAGCTTAGCCCTGGCAGGAAAGTTCATGAGACTCCTGTCTCTAATAAATTACCAAAAAAAAAAAAAAACAGAGATGAAGCTTTGGCTTAAGTGGTAGAGCCTTAGCCTTAAGCGAAAAAGCTCAGGGACAGCACCCAGGCCCTGAGTTCAAGCCCTGGAACTGGCAAAAAAAAAAAAAAAGGTAGATTATGAGTCTTAAGGACTTAGAAAAGATGAGAGACCTTACATTCTTTAAGAAAAAAGTAGTTTGTCTTTCAACTCTCTGACCCACTTGTCCATGCCCAATTAATGTGTTGACCCAGAGTGATCTTATTTATCACGTTCAATAGTTAATAAAATGCAACATATTTATTGAGTGTGTAATGGGTACTAATTAGTTCTTTTCCAGGAGCTAATAAAAATGTTAGACATTTGAAGGTAGGACCTCCTTAGAGTTGTCAACATGTGATTTAATTATGAATGTAGATTTCTTTTTTATTTTCAATTGATGTTTTCCTTTTGTGGAGCTAGGATCTCATTTAGTAGCCCAGGCTAGTCTGCCTCAGCCTCCCATATACTGGAATTAAAGCCACCATGCCAGGCTCAGGTTTCTGCGAACCAATGGCTAATTTCCAGAGCAAAGCACCTGTATCTGTTTAATATAATTATGTAAGCATTATTATATGAATGCCTATTAATTCATAAATGTTGATACAGTGAGACTTCACATTATTGAAACTTACCATTTTGCTTATTAACTGCCTCCACTAACCTTGGATTTTAGACATATCCCGTGCAAATAAGCTGGATCCAATTCTCTGTATTTCAGTCTGTTGTACTGTTAAAATCTTTGCTGTCTACATGGCTTAGTTATCTATGCCCAACTTTAAATATAATCAGAGAGAAAATTAGTATAAAAAGGGAGAGTTCCAAAATGGTGGCCAGTTCTCCTGAGACATGAATGAAAGTGGACACATCCTCAGAGGGCAGGGAAAGGCCCTGAGATGCCTATTTGGGTTTAAAATTCCCTCATCCCAGGGGGAGGCAGAAGCCCCTCCCAGCCTGGTGCCAAGGAGCATGCAAAGGTACATTCTAGATGTCCTCAGCTGCTCCCCCTCTCCCCCTTCCCAGCTGCCGCTGTGGGATGAACAGGTCTGAGAGGTGCTGATTCCTGCTGCCTCCCTCTGTCCTCTAGAAGTGGAGCCCTTTAAGTCCCTGTACCTTTCGGAGAAGATCCTGCTCCGGCTTCTGAAACATCCCAATGTGATCCAGGAGCTGAAGTTTGATGAGAGGAACAAAAAGGCCCCGGAACACTACCTCTACCAGCGCAACCGCCCTGTGGACTACTTTGTGCTGCTTCTGCAGGTGAGTGGTGGAGTCAGAGAACCTGGGCATCAAGCGGGCATCTCCCACATAAAGGGGAAGTGGTTGCTTCCCTCGGTGCCTGGTGCCAAGATTCTGGCTTCCTTGGCAGTGGGGGGAGAGGGGAACAAGGCCAGTTGTGTGGCTCACAGGAAGAGCCTGGGCAGGGAAGGCTGGTGTCCTGAGAGCCTCTCTGATGGCTGAGAGTCTGACCATTCAGCCATTTGGGTTAGGGTGAGAGACTTAACTCCCTAGCAAAGCAATTCTTTTTCTGAACTCCCAAAAGCACTGTCCTGTGGATACCTGATAGCTCAGCTGTTTATTCCCTGAAGTAGGCCTGTCCACCACCACCTAAACTTTAGATCCTTCTTGCTCAAGGCCTCCTCTGTGGAGCTGAACTCTCACCTTCTCAGTCATCTTCACTGGTCCTTGGAGACAGGTGAAGTATATTCATTATCTGTTTCACTATATCTCCCTGCTTCCAGAGACTAGGAAGAGAGACAGTGGTTGCAAGAAAGAGTTCCCTGTAAGGACTTCCTCAAGACCTTAAGTGTCAGATGCACACTGGCATACCATCATGAATAAGATCCATCCCTGACTCCTTGTCTCTTCTCAGCAGAATCTTCTAGCGCCTAAATGCACTGATGTTTCTGAGAACTTGATAAGGCTCATATTAACTTAGAAATGGCCTCTTTGTTCCATTCCACCCCAGCCTCTCCTGTCCGACACCACATACCTCCTTCCAAATAGCCTCAGTGAAATGCTCAGCCTCTCCAAAAATGAAGTCACTTTCCTCACTGCTAGAAATTGAGATGGGTCCTGTTCTACTCTCAATATAATGTAATGAACCCATGCAATCCTTCATCTTATGCTTAATAAAATTTGGGGGGAAAACACCTTAGTTTTCAAATAAAATCTGAAAGGAATAAAGTATAGTTGAAATGCATAGTCTCAGAAATTGTAAAGATTTGTCTTTAAAAATCCCAAAGTTGCTATTTCCCAACTCACCTTGACCAAATGATTCTTCTGAGCCTCAAAGTTGATACATCTGTAAACCAGTGGTAAACATTACAGATCCCATGGGCTCCTAGGGCTGACCGAATGCAAGTCAACACAGTGCATCTGATAGTGTCAGAGCCATCCACTCACACTGGACATTACATGCAGCTAATGTGCTCACATTAGCTGTTACTATAGGAATTCAGCAAGCTCCATCAGAGATTGGATTCTATCTCAACAACATTTGGAAATGGACTAATCTCCGACTGTGATGGTGGAGTAGTGTATGAAGCCCTGTATGTTCTAGAAGAATCATTACTGTGTTCAAGGAAAGGTTGGTTGTTTATAACTAAATTGTGCTTTAGGAAAATGAAAAAATGAATTTGCTACAGGGCTGGGGATTTAGTTGAAATGATAGAGCACTCTACTAATATCTGTTAGGCTCTGAATTCAATCTCAGTACAAAACAAAAACGAAAAACTCTTACTTCTTAGCCAAGTGTAGTAGTGCATGCATATAACCCCAGCACTCAGGAAGCCGAGGTAAGAGGATGAAAAGTTCTAGCCCAGCTTGGGCTACGTAACAAGATCCTGTCTCAAAAAGTAAAATTGAAAATACTCCTTGTGAAATATATATCTAAAACAGGACTCACATTGTTTGCTCTGTGATCAAAATGTGAATCTATGTGTTACACAAGTAAAAGTGCTTAGGTACTAGTTAATAATAGACCTGGAAGTGCACACGTAGCCCTGGTATGCTGCTTCTGTCTGCAGGGTAAAGTGGAGGTAGAGGTCGGTAAGGAAGGCCTTCGCTTCGAGAATGGAGCCTTTACCTACTATGGAGTACCAGCCATCATGACCACCGCTTGCTCAGGTATTCCTGTTTCCAAGCCATCACTTATCGGGGAAGCAGAGGATCTCGGGAAAAGCATCTGGGCTCAAATCGTACCTCTTCTTTTAACCTCTGTTACGGACCCTGGACAAGCCATTAAACTTCCTTGGCTTTAGTTTCTGCCTCTGTTAAATGGCTATAACTATCACTTTAGATGAGGAAAAGTGTAAGTTGGGAAAAGCAAATCACATTGTCCATTGTTAGGGGTAACGAATGTATTTTCCAGTCTGAAAGGACAAGTTACTTAGCTTTCCCCTTTGACTTCCTGCGTTTTATAGGGATCACTGGTGCTAGTGAGAGGCGGGGTGGGAGGTACAGTAGAAGTAGAGAGATTTTTGACTTGTCTCTGAAACCAACTCACTGCGTCCCTCTGTCTTTAGATAATGATGTACGGAAGGTCGGAAGTCTGGCTGGATCCTCCGTCTTTCGTATGTATCTTTCAAACCCCTTCCTCGTCCTCCCCACCATGGTCCTGCCTCAGCCCTGTCTGGGGGTCTGAACCCACGCACTTTGAACCTGGGCTGGGCTAACTCAAATGCTGGCAGCCTCTCTGTAATACCCTGCCAGGAACACTGCCTCCTCCCAGGTACCCAGAGACCTTGGGGGCTTAGGTTCTGTGCGTCTGGAATGTTTGCTGTGTCTGCTTTGCTTCTGCACAGGTGATGAATGTGGAGGGAGGGAGGGCGTCGAGGTGTGAGTGCGGCGCCATTAATTGCCACCTTCCAGGGAATGCAGGCAAGCGATGTGTGTGCTCTTTCCTTCTCAGCAGTAGTAATTCATCATTGGCCTTTACCTAAAAACTCTGCTGTGCCATTACTGTACCTGTGGTGGTATCCTCAGGTAGCCGTGATGATGAGGAGGTTGGGGATGGAGTGGGAGGTTGCTGCAATCTGTGGCACGGCCCTTGCTTGCTGCCTCTCAGCTGGAGATGGGATGTGTGTCAGCTGCCCATGCATGCTGCTGGTGCGGACTGGCGCAGGGCTAATGGCTGGCTTGCTCTGGCCCTCTGTGCTATTCCTTCTTGCTGCTCTCTGTGTAGAGTTATTGTGCTTGTTTTTTAGAGGGCATGACATTCATGGTGATTTAAGTGTGATACACAGAGAATTACTTCTCTACATTTTCTTTTTGATTCACTGGTCTGAATTTTGCATTGCTTGCAGCAGTTAGTGTTGACAAGTAGCCACTTTAATACCACGCAGGCTAGGTATTTCCTCTCCTCATAAAGTATTCTTACACAGGGCATTAGACTGGGATTTGTCAGTGGATTCCAGAACAGGATGTCAGAGTTCCTAGGATATAACAACCTAGATGCCATTTTAGAATGAGAACAAGTACATTATTTGCACCAAGCCATCCAGCAAGCCGAGGACTTAGCTAGGGACATCCCTGTGTGCACACAGCGCAGGGAATATATATTTTAGATGGAATGAAATTGCTATTTGGAAATAGTGAAACAGTTACTGCGTGAATTCCCTTCCTAACCCAGTAGGTGACTGAGATGAAGGCTAAGTACCTGCCACATCCACAGGATTATAGAACTTAAGTTGAAGGAGATCTTGTAAAATTAAACAAACAACCAACCATGGTACACAGGGACACATATATAAGCCAACAACGCTTAGCAAGGTTGCTGCACAAAGCACCGATTTTCTGTATGAGAACACTGGATGAGTGAGGGCCAGGCTCCAGGGCAGAGTAAACCTTATTCCCAAAAAGAGATTTCTACCACCCATCATGTTAGGATCTGCTCTTGGATGTGCTGGCCCCAACTTAGCTCTTGGAGAAGGAAAAAAGAGGTGGAACTCTGAGAAAGAAAGGGCTTTATCAGGCTCCCTAGCCCACGCATGTTAGAGGTCCTTCTTTCTTTAAAATAATAATAATAACGAGGAAGAGGAGGAGAAGGAGGAGGAGGAAAATGTTTTCTAGATTCCGCTTTTCCTTTCTTGCTACTTCTAGTTCTTTCTGACAAACTCCTTCACTTAAAGCTGAAGCCAGTAGTTCACACCTATAAGCCTAGTTCCTTGGGAGGAGGCCAGCATGGCAAAAATGATTGTAAATCTCTTCCCAACTGAAAGCTGGATAAAGTAGCACAAGCCTATTATCCTACTTCATGGGATCCATAAATAGGTAGTCCATGACAGACAAAACTCTATCTCAAAAATAACCAGGGCAAAAAAGGGCTAGAGGCACAGCTCAGTGGTACAGCTCTAGCCCAGCAAGTGAAGCCATAACTTCAAAGTCTGTTTTGACCACACACACACTCATACACACACACACACATGCCTTCAGTTTTATCAAAAAGACAGGAGTGAACTTTCAGTACTCATCTCTCCTTTAAAACTGGTTAACTAAAGGTAAACATTCAACTGTCTTTCCTTCTCCACAGTTCTGAGCATTAACAAATATCCAGGAGGAGCAGGTGCCTAAGAGTTGTGCAGTGAGGAGAGAATAAATCTCCCCTATTTGATGATGCACACATTTAGTTGAAGAACAACTAGATTCTTCTCGACACTGTGGGGTGTCTAATAAGATAGGCCTACTCAAATATTCATTAACTTCTCATGTCAGAATCAATGCTTACAAAGCTCCCCTCTTGCGCTTCCCAGCATAGATAGGTAATTTCAGAGACAAGTCCTATAGTACAAAAGAGAAACGCACAGGAGCTCCTAATTTAGCATGCCTTTACCTCCGTTCAGCTCCTTGGGAGAGCTGGGAATAACCAGATAGGGTGGATACAGATTCCCATGAGAAACACCACTGGGTCAAGATCAGGACAGGAAGAGGCCTGTGTAGTTGCTAGACACACACACACACATACACACCACACACACACACATACACACACACACACACACACACACACCATTCCCAAGTGATAACCAGCACCATAGTCAACTCTGTGGGGAAAGGAAAAGAGGGCAAAGGGAATAAGGAGAGATGCCTCAAAGTATTTCTACTTCCTACAAAGTGACTGTGATTTAACTCATCCAGTTAATTCACATTAAAGCTATGGGCTTGCTGCTGTAGCTTTGTTTGCATCCTCTGGCAACGCACTTTCTCACCAGCACTGGGACCACAGGAGGAGCACTTAGGAGTCCTGAGCAGGATCCAGCTTCCTTGAGGATAGGCCTGGCAGGAGCATGCACTTGGCTTTTGAGCCTCTGAGGACCTGCCATTAAGTAGGAGTCACAGGCAGCTGGGAGAGCCCGGTGCAAACACGGTGCCGTGCTGGAACAGGTTTGCTAGCTCAAGGTGGAGCATGTCAGAGAAGGCTGCTTCCCTGCTCTCCACTGGGGTGCTGCCTCTGCTACTCATTGATTATTCTAGAATACCTTCAGCAAGATCCATTTGCTTGTTTTATTTTGTCTTTCCAGAGAGTGACATTATAAGCAGATATGACTCTCACATTTTCAAAGGCAAGGTTCTTTTTTTTTTTTTTTTGCAGAAAAATGTGAAGCTGTGAAGATCCAGGAACAGACTGTCTCACTACTTTGCTCCTCCTCTCTCTCTCTCTCTCTCTCTCTCTCTCTCTCTCTCTCTCTCTCTCTCTTTCCCCTTTGGTGTGTATCTTCCTTCACTACTCATATACCTTTGGTCCTTGACTCTCTAGTGCCCATCTCTGTGTCTCGTACCTTCGCCTTCAGCAGAGGGGACTCTCTGGCAGGCTCCCCAGGTAAACATGCATGGCCGTCTCAGGTCTCTATAGATCCACTGGGGTTTTCTAGAAGTCTCTGGCCTTTCACGGTCCTGTATAAGAACTAATCTCTCCCAACAGCCACTTACATCATCACTTAGACAGAGTGCATTGCACAAATGACACTCGTTTGCATACACTGCAGTTGCCGGCTGGTTGCAATTGGCATTGCTGGCTGCTTCAGCCCCATTATGACTTTGTTGATGGGATGGATCTGGGTTGTGAATGGACACATGGTGGTGGCGGGGGGTGGGGGGGTCAGATATTGTATGTCTTTTCTCACTATTTGACTGAAGAGTAGAGGGATAAGGACTAGGAAGAATAATGGAACACTGTAGTTTATTCCTACATTTCTCTTCTCCCTTTCCCTCTCTGATCTCTGCCTTTAGCTAAGTACTACTATGTGATGGTCATATTCCCTTGTCACTGGTCATACAAAGGACACTAGGTAAAAATATCAGAGCAACTTTTCATTAGGTTTAACCTCTCATGTTAATTAAAGAAAAATTGCTAATTTTCTTTTTAATCAAGTAATATCATAGAGCTACACAGCAACTGCACCCATGCATTGCAACTGAGTAATTAAATAGCCGTTTATATTATTTTCATCTCTAGAGGTAGGTCTCTTAGGCATGTCGAGCAAGTAATGACCAACGCAGGAATGTGTTTGTGCAATTGCCCTACAGTTAGAACATGCTTCAATTTTCTATAACACCTGCACAGTGTCCCTTATTCCTGCGAGTCCCACTATACCCTCAGACACCAAGAATCAAATTCGGTCTCACTGTCTGGAGAGCAGACCCTCAGTATTAGAAAGGCTCTGTCTAGAGACCTGGAAGCACTCAGATCTGCAGCTTCACAGGTATTTATGTTGACTTGTCTCCTCCCAATCACATTTTTTTCACTAAAAAAACAGTCTCACTCCCATGTTTATTTGCATAAGACAAGTTAGCCACCTTCTCAAATTTCACCAGTTTTCTCTCTCAACTTGATGATCATTTTCCACCAACAAACAAAGCTTCCCTTGCCTTGTAAGAGCTCCTGCTGGCTACAGAACAGGCAAGGCATGTGGCGTGCCAGGTGGGTACCCTCACCAGCTCAATGGTCTGTTCCTGCATGCCAGCAAAAATGTAGAAATAACATCATGGACCTTTCAGTAAATCCTGAAGAAGTCTTGGAGAAGGCCCAAAGTGTGCTGTGAATGTTCCATAGAAAGGAAATAGACCTTTTTTAATTGTTTTTCAACCAAAAGGATCAAAGTTGAATTAACCAGATAACCCAGTTAATTGTCACTTTCCCACTTAAAGAAGGTTAATTTTAGTTCACCAGTAATTATGGGAAACTTCATGGCAGCTCAGTGTCAGACAGATTGAAGTGACTCATTCTTGCTGTGTAATCCCTCAACCCAAGAGAGGCTGAGATTTCTATTCCGTCTCTGGCTGATACCAGTGCCCCTGAGAGCTCTTTCAACCTTCCCCCCATTTTCCATGACTGTGGGTGTTCAGCCCAATAGCAAGCCCAACAATAAAGAAGCAAGAACAAAGCCAGCCTTTTCCTGCCCTGCAGGGTGTAGCAGAGATGGGTACAGCAGGGGAAATGGGAGGTAGAGAGCCTTTCTTCTCCTTTGCCTCTTTTCTCCTCTTCTATTTGGCTGGCCTCTATTTACAGACAAACACCCACTAGGATGCTGATCCTAGTGGGTAGGTGACATCCATAGGACCTACATTATGGTACTGTTCCTACCTCTCTGTCCCATTTTACCATAGAAAAAGTATTAGAGGCCTGGAATTCTGTAGCAGAAAACTATAGGCACCTCTGGACCCCTGTTTAATTTCTGATCCATAAACTTATGAACATATAAAATCTTGACCTCATCTTAACAAAGGGGAAAAAGAAAAGCCATAGAAATTAATAAGAGTTTTAAGTTAAAAAAAATCCGATGTTAATTTTATTTGATCCTTACAGCCACTTTCGGAAATGGGCAGAAATCCTGTTGGGAAATAACAAGTAAGGGGTCAGTGTTGGGTATGTAATAAGTAGGTAGAAGAATGAGGACTGGAATCCAAGTCTGTTAGGTCCTGACTTCCTTCTGTTGCTGGGGACCTTGCTGTTCCTCTACATGTATGCATTTTGCACCCCCTAGAGGGGGTGCTAATGTTGCTAATATGTTGCTAATGAATACTAATGAATATGTTGCTCATACTGGATTAAGACTGCAAAAACCAAAGGTCCATGCATCAAATATTGCAAAAATATTGAGTATCTGATTACAAATCATTACCTATAGGCATTTCTTTCCATTGGAGCATTTGCGTGAAGTCAGGGTTGCTAAGTGGCTTGTGGATTACCTCCAAAGGGTGGTAAAATTAGCCAGCTTTGGGGCTGCTTTAATTTACAAATGAAACTTCTGTTAGCTCACACCTCTATAATCTTGGCTACTCCAAAGGCTGAGATCTGAGAGTTGCAGTTCAAAGCCAGACCAAGCAAGAAAGTCCAGGAGATTCTTATCTCCAAAAAAACCAATCAACAAAAGCTGGAAGTGTATCTGTGGCTCAAGTAATAGAGCACCAGCCTTGAGCAAAAAAAGCTAAAGGAAAGTGTCCAGGCCTTGAGTTCCTAGTATCAGTACAGTAAAAAAGGGAGGGAAAAAGGGAGGGAGGAAGGAAGGGAGAAAACAGCCCCACTGATTAGCCTCCCCTGCCATTAGTATTCTCTCTTCTGCATGCATTCCTGTTTTCTTCTCCAAATACCAGAGATAATGTTGGGTTCCCCAGGATGATCCTTCCATATCCACAAAAACACGGAGGCAGGAAAACCAAGGGCTCTTTTTCAGTGCTCAATTGTCCAACCAAAATGTGCATTGAGATTTTTTAAAAAAGAAAAGAAAGATGGTATTTTCTCAAAGAACATACTAGGAGTCCCTAAAAATAACCTTTTTACTGCTAATGTCTATGAAATGTGGAAAATAGAAATATTCCTTTGGGTTGTCTCTTGTATGATAAAAATTTGGGACCCATTAAAACTTGGAGCGAGTTCATCTGGGATCCTAACGGATGGCTAGCTTGCAGAGTTCACATTGAATTTTGACACAGGGCTGCCCTTTGGTATTTGGTTATGTGAGGATGAATACTATCAAAGACAGATGAATTTCAATAATTCTACTTTGTACTCCTACAGGCCTGTGTAATTGAACTCTCCATCTAATTTGGAAAAAATGTAGCCATGTCCCTCATTCTTAACTGATGCTCAAAAAGATGTAGACAGACAAGCCATTGGGCTTTCCTTTTCCACACATCCCCAGCTCCCAAAGAGTAGCATGGCATTATTCATCTTGGATATCTTGGGTAATGGTTCCTGGATGGGGTGTAAAGGCTCCCTAGATAAAAGTGTCACAAGTAAAGCAAGAGTCCATATCTGTATGAAAATGTGGGGGACGCTGCCTATTAGTACAGAGAGAAGAATTCCTTTCAGTCACCATTGCAGTGGAAAGTACTTTCCCACACACTCTTTCTCCTCCAAGTTTCACCCCAGTGTCTTCTTCATCTAAGCTTAATAACCAAGCTGCCAGGACACATCTCTCAGAGACTGACCACACCATGGCCATAGGAATGCTTTTCCATATTACTTGGGTCCAGAGAAGGAAATCCTCCTTCCTAACACTCAGTCACAACCAGAGCCAACTTAAAGGTAGAAGGCAAGAGTAGGAGTGGGCCAAGGATGTGTGGACCCCTTGGCTTACCTCCCGTTAACAGTCCTGTGGTCAGTCTTTAATCTGTCTCTTTTCCTTGCATTGGACTTAGGACATTCCTTGGTGCTTCACTCCCCCGCAAGCAGTGCCTCTGTACGCTGAGGAAATTGCAGATGGATTTATACACCTTGAACTACTTTGCCTGCTGTTAGGACACTCGTCTGTTACTGATTTCTTCTTCTTCTTTATTTTTTTATTAAGAGCATTTCCATTTCCAGTCCCCTTGCTCGGAAACTCTGAATGCATGTGCACAATTACCAAAATGCCGATTCATCAGCATCCCACCTATTGAGAAATGTCAGGCTCTGGGGCACGAGATTCATCTTAACCAACACTCAGATGAGCCTGTCACAAAATAAGGTTTCCTTTTTCTTTGAAAAATTGCTTTTCTAGTCCTGACCTTCATAAGACAAATGGATCTTTTGGTGCTGAAAATCCTTTGGGATTTTGAAAAAAACCTTCAACAGTGTATCTACTTTAAAAACAAAACAAAAACAAAAAACTTGTTTCTCCTCCCAACCCAACTGTAGTATAGCTTGTGGTTGATCTGTGAATCTCTGAGTAGCAGCAGGGTGATTGTTTCTGGTGCCTGTGGAGACTGAGAGCTGTATGAGCAACTGGGGTGAAGTTATTGCCTCTGTTTCCAACAAGTCATGGAGGTGATTTGCTATGTGCATGGGAGGAATTTAGTAGATGTGATCTAGCTCTGTTTCCCTGTCCTCTTCCCACATATCTCTTGGATTGGGACCTCAGAGATGAATGTGGAATCGTGGGTGTGGAGTAGATGAAGCCTGTGTCCAGCCAGGCAGACTGGAGGACGGTCAAGATATGGCAGTGCTTTCTCCAGGCAACTGAAGCCACAGGCCTTGCTCACATCCTGTCCCTGGGTAATGTGCAAACCGAATGGAGGCCAGCACCCACTGGGACAAGGTGTGATTTTCCAGCCCTGTTTGTATACCAGAGGAGCTGCTTTCCTGCAAGACTGCCTGCTTATTTCCCCAACAATTAGCCTGGAAGAAAGAGTGCTGACCTTCCCAGCTGCCTACCACCTTGCCTAGCCACAAATGAGTCTAGCCAAGCCAGAACTCATCAATTATTCAAGGGAGCAAGACCAGCATTGAAATGTAACGTTTTCTTTTTAATACTGTTATCTTGGGTTTACTCCAGTACTATAGAAAACTAATTTGCGTTTTTAAGTTTTTGATTCTGGCAGCTGGATGAAAATAGACTGCAGTGGTCCTCTTTATGCACATTTTCCCCTTCCGGGGTCGAGTTACCCATTATCAACTGAGGTCCATAAATTAGTGATGAAGAATACCAGAACTAAGCAATTCATAAGTTTTAAATAATTTTTTTATAATGGAGGCCATCAGTACTTTTTATTTTTTATTTTTTGGGTCCAGTTGTGGGGCCTGAACTCTGGGCCTGGGCGCTGTCCCTCAGCTCAAGGCTAGCACTCTACCACTTGAGCCACAACTCCACTTCTGGCTTTTTTCTTTTTGCTTATGTGGTGCTAAGGAATCGAACCCAGGGCCTCAGGCATGCAAGGCAAGCGCTCTACCACTGAGCCACCTTCCCAGCCCCTTAAATAATTTTTATTATAGTGTATTGCTGTAATTATTCTATGGAATTGGTTAGTAAATAGGAATAAATGCTAATCACTTAGTGTATGCAATTTATAAATTAAATTATCATAGGGGAAAAATGTAACATGAATAGGGTTTGGTACTGTTGGTAATTTCAGGCCTCTAGTCTAAGTCTGGAAATGTGTATACAGAGAGAGAGACAGAGACAGAGAGAGGGGGAGGTGGGAGAATTGCTGCATAAGATTATTGTGGGGAGACCAGATGTGGCCCAAGTAATGTGATGGTTACTGATCTTTGTTAGAAGGAGATAAGATAGAGGAGCTCATTGTGCTGAAGGCGGAGACAAAGGACTGATGTGGTGTTGAGAGTGTGGCAGGAGTCTCTCGGTGGAGGGACTCTCTGATTTCTGAAGTAATGTAGCAACATGTAAATAATGACACTTACTGAGAACGGGAAGATGGAATTAGAACCTTAATTCTATAATCATACCAAAGCCATGATTATTACTGTTCTAATGAGAAAATATCACAGTCTTTCTCCTCACTGGTGTGGAAGACAGTAAGATCTTGGCATGGAAACAACAGATCAGCAACTGGCATGACTCACTCCAAAGAGGGGCTAATCTAATATTTTGATTGACAGCACCACTATCTCAAGAGACAGAATTAAATCATCCTATCCTCAGAGAGCAAGGACCAGAATCTATGAAGAGTTTTATTCTTCATTTGAGCCCCCTCAACTAAATCTGTGTTCTGAGAAGCTGGCATCCTTCTGGCCCCCTTTTCTGGAAGAACTGCTTAGTGGTGACAGTTGGGAAATAAAAGCACTGGGGACGGGACGGGGCGGGGGGGTGGATGGGACTTTGCATTTGCATTGTCATTAGTGTGGTTTCATGTTGAAATAACAGTAGGATCACCTTCAGTGCCCTCTCTTCTATTGATCCTGGGGAAGATAGTTCACAGAGTCCATTTTGAAATCAAATAACAGGCCTTCCAGAATTTTCTCTCCCCCCACTCCCAAATTAAAATGTAAAAAGAATGAGACTGGGTATTTGGGTCTTGGACAGAAAACGTGTCCATTACTCTGGTCCCTGCATAGGCCTATGTAAGAGCAAACTCCATCTTTCCCCACATTTGAAGGACCCAATGGGGCCCTGAGTCTTTCCCCTAGTGGTGAGACAGGCAGTTTACAGGACCAGAGGGCTGTGTGTACCCAGAGCCCTTGTTCTTCCTTCTGGACCACATTTCAGATCCCCCAAATCTTGGGATTTCCCACCCAAACAGCTCTGAAGATAATGGTGCAGAGTCCTGGTCCTAGGTCCGGTGCATAGCCCATTGTCTGGCACAAAACTCCAGGGAATTGAACCTGAACTTTCACGTTGCTACAGCCAGTCACATTGTTAACAATTTATTCCTGTGATTTATAATGTGATTATGACTGGTGGGTCTCAGACCCTTTCTGTGTGACTGGGACAAGTGGGTGGTCTTGAGGGCAAACCTGAGGCCTTGGCCTCTCTAAAATAAGGTTTGATGTGAGATTGTGTTCAATAGCCCACTGCAGTGGAGTCTCACTGTCTGGGTGGTTTGCCATGCAAATGGCACTGGCCTCATGTATTCGGGAGCCCCCTGCCTGTAACCGGAAGATGAGGACCAAGAAATGCATCCCACTACCTCTGCCCACTGTCTGGGGGGTCTGGGAACAAGCACCCCAACTCCTCCCTTGGAGAAGTCACAGGGTTTAGTATTTGCTCCTTGCAGGACTTAACACCAGCACTCAGCTTATTCCTAGCCTCTGGTGGGAAAGGGCAGGCTCCCCTCCATCCCCCAGTGCTGGTGTTGCTGCTGTTGCTGCTCCTGGAACACCTCAGTCAAAAGTATCTCTCTCTCTCTCTCTCTCTCTCTCTCTCTCTCTCTCTCTCTCTCTCTTTCTCATCCTTCCATCCCTTCTCTTTTCTCCCCACCCATCACTCCTTGTCTTTCCTTCCTCTCCCCCTTCCTCACCATCTGCAGTAAACCGGTCCCCTTCTCGCTGCAGCGGGTTGAACCGCTCTGAGTCTCCAAATCGAGAGCGCAGTGACTTTGGTGGGAGCAACACCCAGCTGTACAGTAGCAGCAACAACCTCTACACACCCGACTACTCAGTCCACATCCTCAGCGATGTGCAGTTCGTGAAGGTAACTCTCCAGGAGGGCGACCTCCTCCCCACCCCACCCCCATCTCCCAGATAAGGAGTCTACACTCCCTGCACACCACAAGCATCCCATTCAGGTGCTCCAATACGAGGCAGCAATTGCTACCTGGCTTTACAAAGGCCTGGTTTCAGAAAGCTTGTCAGCGGCATAGAGTCTAAGTTGTAGGGGTGCATTTTAAGAGGTGGTATAAACCATAGGAAAATTGAGAGTATCCAAGCAGAACGACAAAAGACATCCTAACTTAAAGGTTATCTTCCAGTTACCTGGTCTGCTAAGTCAAAATGGCAATCTGCTAAGTCATGTTAAGTTTCAAGATAAACAGGACAACCTTTGCCGGGTGCCGGTGGCTTGTGCCTGTAATCCTAACTACTAGGGAGACTGAGATCTGAGAATCGAGGTTCAAAGCCAGCTTTATGGTGAAAAGGCAGTGCTGGGTATTAATCTAAGTTTGGTCCTTTTCCCCGGAGCTACATCCCCAAGCCTTCGTTTTGTTTTGAGATAAAGGTCTCTGTAGGTCAGCTTGACCTTGAAACTTAAAACTAGGCAGAGTAGTTTAGCACAAGACCTGTTGGACCTTGGTTGTCCTAATACAGTAACCCAGTGACCACATATGGATTCCAAAGACTTCATACAAAAATTAATGTCATATTCCAACTTTATATTGTTTTCATGTTAGAGTTTTCATAAGTATGTTGAGTGTATTTATTGGGTAAAAGAAAAAATATCATTAAAATTATTTTACCTGTTTCTTTTTTCTAGCTATTATGAAAATTTTTTTTGATTGCCAGGATAACTCATATTTCTTGGCGCTACTTCACTGTAGTATCATGCTAAATAAAAAGAAGTTGTGAGGGGGCGGGGGATGTAACTTGTTGGTACAGTCCTTGCTCAGCATTCACAAGGCCCTTGAGTCAACCTCCAGCACCACCACCCCCCCCAAAAAATGTCACAGTTGCTAGACAAGAGAAGGGAACTAAGGACAAGTGGTGTGGTGCTTGAATCTAGAAAAACAACTTGGAGAATCAGGACAGAGATTGCTTTTCTGAACACATTTTCCAGAATGGTGCCCTATCAACAGTAGTGTTTAAAGCAGTGTGTGAAACCAAAGCTGTAAGACATAGAGATGATGAAGAAAATAGGGAGTGCCTTTGCTTTTCTAAAACCATCCACCAGTTCAGACCCTCTCCCAAACTCTGTCCTACCTGTCCTTGGCCAGCCACCTGCCACTCAACCTCCCCAGCCCACCTGTGCTCTTTCCCCTGATGTTACATCCTGACTGCAGCTGTCTGGCTTAACAACTATGCTAACTCCCCCAATGCCAGGGAACTTGGTACCTCCTTAGAAATCCTGCCCTATTAATTCAGGGGTGTTACCAGAATTCTTCATTCCCAGCTCATTCTTCCCTCCATAACAAGGCATAAACGGAGGGTTTGAGTTCCTCTGGTCCCAGGCACCTGGAGGAGACATAGCACTTTTTTTCTGAGTGGCATAGGTTACTGCAGGTCCAGCCTGGATAGAACCTTTCCAATCACTTTGTTCATTAAGATGGAACTTTTGCTGTGGCTGTCACAACCAAGAGCCATCTATCTTGGGGGACACAGCCAATCTAGCAACTAATGGGAGCTTTAAGCCAGCAGATCCGTTTCAAAGTCAAACCGACACATACCCCTTTCCTTCTCTCTTCCTCACTCTGGCTGCTTTTCTCTCCCTCTTCCCTGGCCCACTGTCCCTGTTGGACTCTTATTTCTTTCCCCTGTGTTCTCTTTTCCTATTTTCTTGGTTAAAGATAGACCTTTCCAAGATCTAGTTTTGCCTTCACAGCACCACCTGTCACATTGTCTCTGGGGACGGAGGGACACTGCTCCTTCCCACCCCCAACCCACAGAAAGCCAGGAACAACTTACACACCTCATGAGTGCAAAGTTTGGCCTCTGTCTTGAAAATGGATGTCTGCGGTAAAGTAAGATTCTAAGTCTACTGTGTGGACACACAATTAGTAATCATTCCTAATAGAGGGTAACATGTGCATTCACTTTATCTCATTATCGCTGGCCCCTCTGACAAGATTAAAGAGGTTAGTGATTTGGCCCAGGTCACTAGCCAGAAAGGGGCAAACCCAGTGCTGACTAGGACCTGGGTGCTGTTCAAGCAGGCAATGTGTTTCCTGTTGTATTTTCTAGGTAGAGTGTCCCATTGCCTTCTTTGACTAAGCTAGAAGAGAAATCTAAACTAATGCTTTAACGAACCCAACTACAATAAAGCTTTGTTGAGCTTACCAGGTGTTGTGTAGGAAATTTTTCTGTCCCTTAGTATTAGGGCCACACTTTTCCTATCTTTGGGGGAAATGCTCGACACTGACTTCACACTCAGTAACAGACAAGAGCTGGGAAATTCAGGTGCTCTCAACACAAACATTCAACCTATTGAAGACTGGACACAAGATGGTTGAGACACATGGTTCTATGTGTTGAAGCACAGAAGGTATGGTTTTGACCTAGAAAATATCAAAGCCAGTTGCCCACATGCTGCTGTTTTATTAAATCTTTTATAAGGAAAGAACAAGAATCTGAGTGGGACCTGTGTCTGATTTTAACTAGGTCACAGGTCAGTGGTTCTCAAAGTGCAACATCCAGACCAGCAGCATTAGCATCACCTGGACCTTGCTAGAAATGCAAATTACATAGTGAATTCGAAACTTTAAACCAGGCTCAAGTGATTTTTGTCTGTAATCCTAACTACTTGGGAAGCAGAGATTGGGAAGATCTCAGTTTAAGGCCAGCCCAAGCAAAAAAATAAATAAAGTTCATGAGACCCTCTCAACCAATAAAAAGCTGGACATGGTGGTTCCATACCGGTCATACCAACTATTAAGGAAACATCAGTAGGAAGATTTCTGTCCAGTTCATGCACAAAATGCTATTGGAAAAATAACTAAAGCTAAAAAGGGCTGGGGACAAGGTTCAGGTGGTAGAGTGCAAGGCTCTGAGTTCAAACTCCAGTGCCATAAAAAAAAGAAGAAAAAGTGTAACTTTGAGAGCTGAACCCAGACATCTTACTTTAAGTAAGCCCTTTGGGTAATTCTAGTGCTGGGGTTTGAGAATTGCTGATATAGGACAGTTTATAACCCCTGTCCTGTGATTTAGCTATGGTATTAGTGTGCTCCCCACAGATTTCCATGCTACAGCCAACATCTTCAATATAATGATATTGAGGAGTGGTTAGGTTCTGAGATCACCACCCTTGAAAGAATTTGTGTAGTTCTTCCAGGGTTGGGTTAATTCTGGGGAAAGCAGATTGTTAGAAAGCAAAGCTGCCTACCCCAAGTTCTCAGCCCCTTCAATACCCAGCCATTTCCCTTTCTGCTTCTCTACCACTGTTGTGATATAGCCTGGAGAGAGGGGAAAGCAGAGGCTGTCCACTTGGTACTGGTGCCATGGTTGTTGGGCTTTTCAACCACCAGATGTGAACCAAATAAACCTCCTTTCTTTTTCAAGTCCCCAGTCTTAGGTACATTTGTCATAGCGACACAAAATGGATTCAGATAGGCTCCTCCTGTGTACTGTGATGTCAAACAGCAATAAAAAGGAATAGAAGAAACTGGTGGCTGATGAATAAGGCCCCCTCCTGGCCCCTTAGTTTCTGGGCTGGTCCAGCTTAGATAGGTTAAGGTTTACAGATCTCAGGCCTCTGTGCCCAGGGGGTCCCACAGCAACATGGTAGGGCCGCTTGTGAACTTAGAAAAAGTGTCTCCATCTTGAGAGGATTCCACACAGCTCTCTTGAGCTTTTCCCACTTCTTTCTAGATCACCCGACAGCAATACCAGAACGCACTCACCGCCTGCCACATGGACAGCTCACCCCAGTCTCCAGACATGGAGGCCTTCACTGATGGAGACTCTACCAAGGCCCCCACAACCCGGGGCACACCCCAGACCCCCAAGGATGACCCTGCCCTCACGCTCCTGAGCAACAGGACCAGCCTGCCGGGTGAGTCAGTTGGGCAGATGGGTGGGGCTGTGGTGAGGTGAGAACAGCTCAGCCCTGTCTGGGGCTACCATCTTGTGCTTCATGGAACCCCAGGTCTTCTCGAAGGCAGAAGGGTGACGCATTCACTGTCCTCCCCAGGCAGCCGCTCCGATGGGCTGAGAAGCCCAGGCGAGGTGGTGTACCTGAGAATGGAGGAGCTGGCCTTCACCCAGGAAGAGATGACAGACTTCCAGGAGCACAAGGCTCAGCCACTCTCGCTGTCCCCTGCAGCTGTTCCCACAACAGCAGGTTAGGGAGGGGCCCAGAGGTGCGAGGCACCATCCTCAGGTGATGGGATGGCCCGAACAAGCTGGGTGTGGGGAGGCCTGGGTTCTGAGTCTTACTTGCTTACACAACTAGGCAAGGACCTCCAGCCTTTACTGAGCACCTACCATGCATCAGGCCCAGTCTACTTCATTCCCCCAGACGTCTGTGTAATGCAGGATTGGCTACGTTTCTACCTGGAGTTGGCTCTGGCTCCTTCATTTAGCAGCTCTGCCATTTTAAGCAAGTTATTTAACCTAAAACTCCATTTTCTTATCTTAATAGATAAGTTTCCTTACATTTGCTGGTAAAAAATGATGTGTCTCATAAAGTTGGCTTTTAAGTATGAACAAGGTAATTTATATAAAGGGCACAGCACAGAGTTGGACACTGTGCTGTGCAGACATTAAACCTACCCTGCAGATAAGGAAGGTTTAATGGTGTCAGCCATTACCCTTCTGGCTGGGCTCTTCCATTCCTGTGGGTGCTGGCGAAACAAGGCAGTCTGAGTACTTCTGCACTGGCAATGGGGCTGCTCCAAGTTCCCGGTGTTCCCTCAGTGCTGAGGCCTTCCAGAGCCTTGCCTCATTGAGGTGTGCTTCCCCGGTAAAGAACTAAAAAGGTTGGGGCTGGGAAGGTGGCTCAGTGGTAGAGCGCTTGCCTTGCATGCCTGAGGCCCTGGGTTTGATTCCTCAGCACCATATAAGCAAAAAGAAAAAAAGCCAGAAGTGGCGCTGTGGCTCAAGTGGTAGAGCGCTATCCTTGAGCTGAAGAGCTGAGGGACAGAGGGACAGCGCCCAGGCCCAGAG